AGTCTTTTTTATGGTTGAGATTGTTAATAATTGAAACAGTAGGGGGCAATCGAAACTGAAGAAAATTGGAACCAACCCGAGTCATAGACACAGATCGTGACTTCTAAAAAATCTGTTGAAACATGTTTGATTCTGTCTGGAAATCCGGATATTAAATGGTTGGTAAGAATATCGCAATTCCGTCCGGGCAACGAAGCAGCGTCCACAGATGATAAAGCCGTTATGTTTCAGTCTGTGGATTTCCGAATATCCAAAGCCATAATAGATCGACGGCGTATCTTATCAAGTTGTTATATGGCTGGGGTATTTTACCTATCACCAAGTGAACCGTGCTTCTCTATCCTCCTCTGTCTTCGAAATTATCATAAAGGCTCACAATGAACTTACACTAGCCTGATATCCTGAGTCTTTGTTGGCGAAGGGCGTGTGTCCTGGGGGGTAGTACACGGCTGGCCCTGCCACATTCTTGCTGCTCCCGATTGGTGGAGACTTAGCAGCTGTCAGTGCTGATGACTGCGTTTCACGTGACACCTCCACTTTGCGCTGTGTCAAACCGTCGGGTTGTGTTGGGAAACGCTGAAATTAATAAATAGTGATAGCAACTAATCAAGTTTCAATTGGGTGAAAGTTTATAAGAAGAAGAGAAAGAAAGGTGATAGTTAGTTTTAGTTTGTAGTTTTTATCTATGACGATTTAGAATGATGGGGTCGGCAATGTCTTTTTTTCTTACAAGAGTTAGTCTTGTCAATTATTACGTAATATCAACATTATGTAATGTTTATATTCACATAGTCCAGGTGGTGATTAGTCATAACCCCAACAATGCTGGGTTTTGAAAACCAAGACTATCTTTGATCTTTCAAAATGAATGATTGAAACCAAAGTTTAATAGTAGCAAAAATTAAAATTTCTTAGAATTGTTACTTAGAAAAAAAAAATTAAATTCAACCATATAACTATTTAACAGGCGGAAAATCAATTTATTTATTTATTTATTTATTTATTACATTATAAAAATATTCTAACATTACAGAACAATGTCCATTGCGATAGAATTATTTAATACATATTTCATGGAGTGATGTTTTTGTCAATTCACCCAAGCTACACGTAAAAATGTCGATCCCTCCTGCAGCTTGTTGATAACACGCATAGCACGAACAAGAGGGGATTTCATCAGTAAGTGGTGCGTGAGTACGGTAGCGCGAAGTAACGGTGGTCGTAATCGCCTCCACACGTATCGGTCCGGAACAGACAAGTGTAAGGACTATAGAACCTGGGTTCAACTCTCGACTCAATACTTTTACTAGATATATCACAAGGAATAAGTCCCTTTCGTACAGCTTCAATTCATTGTATCCGACCATGCCTAATACA